AAAATCAAGTTATTTTTTGAGCACAGACATTTTAGTGTGGTATAAATGTAAAATAATCTGAGGAAGCCATCGCAATAATTATTGGGAAGAAATATAAAGCACTTTAAGACTTTTATTTGAACTCGTTATCATTACAAAGTGGCAAATAAAATAATCAGCTCTTTTTACTACTTACATGTCCGCTTTGATTAAATAACAATCTAAAATACTAACAAAAAGGCAATTAATTCTTTATTGGTGACCTGTTCGATATAATAGTTTAGATAATAGCATTAATTTAATGCTTACTAGAGTACAGACTGAAAAAAGGAAAGCAAGTAGTGTTGACTGCTTACTATAAAGAATCATATTTAAAAGTTTTGAACTACAAGATCCTATTAATTAATTACAAATATAGATACCGTGAAGGATCTGTCTATCCATGATTTTATGGAGGGTATGAAACTATGGCAGTTTTTTTGTAAATAAGGGAACTGTTCCATGATTTTTAACATGTATGGAAGTCCATTCACATTTGAAACCCCTAATGAATTTATGAGATAATTCATTTTTTCCTCAAGATTTGAATTAACATTTTAATTTTGCCTCTCACCTCCTACTTTCGCTTCAGTAGGTAATACAATCTAATTCCTGATATTGCTTTCACTACACTTTGTTTACTGTTTTTGTTGTTTCTTTCCATATAATATATATATTTTTGTCTTTTAGAAAATTAAATAAAGACTATTCATGAAAAACAAAACAATCACTATTTAAACAAAACAAAAGGAAAGCCAACTTTCCTTTCCTTTTGTATTGTTCCATTAGTTGCTGGGGTTTTTGAAGAAGTCCCACCATTTTAGGTGTGCTACCTTTCTTAAAAATCTATTTGGTCTGGTTTATTAGTGCTGATCCCTTTATTTGCCATTTTTCCTGTATAATCACGATTTAAAGAATGGTGGGACCAAATGGTTAAAGGAACACTATAGAGTCAGGAACATGTATTCCTGAGCCTATAGTGCTAAACCCCCCATTTAGGTGGCTTGCCCCCAACTTGGCCCCCTTAAAGCAATTAAAACTCACCTTATTGATACTGGCGGAAGTTACATATTTTCCACCAGTATCAGGGGGATCAGCTGAGCGAGCAATAAGAACATTAACCACACCCGCTATTGGTGGAAATCAGAAGGTGGGAACCAATGAGGACTACATCAGTGATTTAAAAGTAAAAGCAAACCAGAAAGGAACTACTCTGATTGAAAAAGCCCAAGGACTGTGAAAAATGTGTCTTAGAGAAACCAGAACTATTTGTGGACAAGTGTTTATATTTACTTTATTTGTTTTTAACGAATGTTGTTAAATACATGTTTAAAATTGGATACCTAAGTCCTGCTGGTTATTATTTCCACCTACTTTGGAAAGGAAGGTTTGCCCCCCTTTAGTGGGCTACAAGCTGTTACACCTAGAGACAGTTTTTTTTGGCTCTAAACCAGGTGAGCAGTATATATTATTACCTGTATTCACTGGATTGCACTTTACACTACACCAAGAATTTCCTTTTCTCTCTGTGTTTTCTCCTGAATGCATTTATAAAGAAAAGAAGAGGGTGTCACCGGAATACACCAAGGCACTTGTTATCTGAGCCAGTCTACTTTTTTCTCTCTTTACTTGTGAGTTTATATGTTTTTAAACTCCCCTTTTTTTGTTCATTCTATACTATATATCTTTCTCTCAATTTATAGCCCAGTCATAGGATTTCATTCTAGGGTTCATATAGGGGTAAGTGTACTCCTTTTTTATACCTTAGCCCTCCACCATAAGGTAGAGGGTTTTTACCTTCTAGCACCTTTTCCTAGTCTTCCATTCTATTTTTTTGGTTGCTTAAGAGATTCCCACATGGGTGTGGTAGCAGCTAAAATATACAACATTTCCATATTATTTTTTAAGCGCCCTTTTGCACAGAACACTTTTTCCATATGCAATGTAAACACTACCTTTTTCTCTGAGAAGGCAGTGTTTGCATTAAAATGCACGAAGGCAATGATTATACTCACCAGAACAACTACATAGATCTGTAGTTGTTCTGGTGACTAGTGTCCCTTTAAGGCAGATTATCAGCCATGCTCCAGCATTTTCCATACTGGGATTCTTCTGAACATGATTCTGCAATCCCTGGGTGACAAAAGGAGTAAAGATGGATCCCACTGATAAATCAATCCCACACGCCTAATTTGCAATAAATATCTTTCATATGCTAAATGTATTATGTGTTCTAACAAATAAATGCTTTTGAAATACTTTATTACATTATTGTTTTTCCTTTGAAAACACAATTGCCATTTTGGCTCTCTCTCAAAATATTCATAAAAGTTAGATAATTGCTCCTCTTTCTCCATGCATTTTCCCAATTTTAAACACACATGCAAATAAATAAATAAAAATATTTCCTGCTGCCAGTAGTCACAGTCTTCTAAACTCACATTGTTTTATTTAAATTGTAGCAGTTGAAAAGAGGATCAGATGAAAATGTGGTCTTGTGTAGATGGAGTTAATGACAACACTGTTTGCATATGCGCTTTCCAAAGATAGTGTATGCATAAAAATAACTTATTGGAGACTAGCAAAAGCACATCATCTTACGGGAAGATATGATTTGGAGAGAGAGAAGGATAAATAAGTAGATACATTGAATGAATTGCATTCTTTCTTCTAACATAAATATAAATGAGTATGTGCATAGTTTGTTCGTGTGTTGAATTAATTCTACACTTGTCATGATTTAGGCACTTAGAACATTTTACAGTGCAACTTAATAAGATTTCTCACTTCTAAATCTTTCAGGTTTGATTAAAAAAAACAACTCAGCCTACTACTGATGTTTTATATTAATATTACGTGTGTGTGATTTAATGACTCTGCATATTGGTGTATTAGCTGACATTGGAATTGAAAGTACACAGTGGAAACTGCCACCAGATGTTGGGCTTAAAATCTCAAATCCTAAACTCTTAACCTGGACTTAAAAGTTACTTGCATTAAACAGATTAAAAAAAAAAAAAAAAAAGTTACTTGCATTGCAAAGCTGGTGAATCTGTGATACTCTCACCAGGGGTACATTTTTGACCGTTACTAGAACAAACTTTAGTGCCTTGAGATAATGACTTGGTTATGAAGTGCAATATTTGTTGTTTCGCCTAATACATTCTATGATTAGGACAATTTTGATTTCCCTGGAACCAAACTTTTCTAATTTAAGGATGTACTATGCCTTGTCTCCTTAACAATACAGTAAGAGTCTCTCAATAAGCCCCAGCAGCTCTTATAAGTGTGAGGATATCCATTTTTTATCATCACTTTATGTTATTTGTTTCTTATTAAGTGGGAGCTGAGTTCCCTAGCCAGATACTTGTGGTGGAACATTCACCTGGTTAATAAAGATGCCTGAGGTCTCTTTTAGGGGCGGACTGATGGCCGGGCACTTCGGACATGGTCCTACTGGGGCCTGGAGGGGACTGTTTCTAACAGTCCCTCTCTAATGGATGCTGAGATGGCCTCTATTATAAAGACCCCCTTCCAACCTTATTAGACTCCATTGTAGTCTCTACTGGGGCCTGGAAGGGATGGTTTCTACAAGAGGCTCTCTAGTGGACGCTGAGATGGCCTCTGTTAGAAAGACCCCCTTCCAAGCCTACTAGACTCCATTGTAGTCTCTAATGGGGCCTGGAGGGGATTCTTTCTAACACACTCTCTAAAGGACACTGAGAGGATCTCTTTTAGATATACCCCTCTCCAGGTCACTGTAGATCAGTCTACTTCACTTCCTGCTGTTTGTCCATTGTTGTGGGTTCAAGGAATTTCAGGGATAAGAATCTCCTTAGGGGAGCTTCTCTGTGCTTCCATGCATTTATACACTTTTTACTATATTTTTCTATTACATTAGAGCAGGGCTCGACAAATACCAGGTCACCATGGTGACTAGAAATCTTGTCCTGGCAGCACTTTAGCGAAGGCCACTTACATGGGGTAGCATGAGAGGGGGCCAGCCACCTGCCTGGGGTCATGTGGGAGGCAGTAATCCTCCTGCAGTTCCTCACTGCTCCCTTGCACTGTTAAGTGATGCCAGGAGCTGGAATATGACATCATTCCGGCCCCGGCATCACTACAGAGATCATATAAGGGAGCTCAGAGGAACTGCAAGAAGATTAGACAGCAGCCCCACTGGACCACAGGGAAAGATCCACTAAGCTCTCCCAAAGGTATGGAGGCTGGGTGGACACAAATGAAAATTAAAATGCAAAAGGAACTGGTGCATGTACGGTGTCCTTAAAAGTTCAAGCACAGTACAGAATTGTGTATTTCCTATTTCCTATTTGTTTTATCCTCTACGATGGTACTGAGCACCTCCATCTTGACATCCTGTCAATCAGTGTTCTAATGTTGGCTCTATCCATTGTATCTGTCAGTCCGCTTTGTGTGAATGTACATTGGTTGTGTCAGGATTGAAGTTGATTGTCTAGTGTGTTACTTATTTTTTAAAGGAAGACTCGCTGCACTGTGATTTGACACATACAGGTGCATGTAGCCTGGCCCTCTGTTCATGGTATTGGCATATTTTTGCATATTCATATTTGGTTGAGAGCGTCAGCCAACAAATTTGGATAAAACTAACATTTCTGTAAGCTTGTAAGCTCTCTTCCCCAGGAATGAGCACAAGTCCTTTTCTCAGTGATGAGTGGTACTCTGTACTCTGCATCTACATTGTCCAGGTGTGTGTTGGGAAACTGTTCATGCACTAAGGAATACATTATTGTTATTTAGATTTAAAAAAAAAAACACAGACTCGTGTCATTGAGTTCAACCGTTAAACACTTCTTTTTAAATGTGTTTGGCAGTTCATTTTAACCACCAAATGATTGATGAGACTCATGTCTAATACCTATGACACATTACATTTGCAGATTGTCGTCATTTTCAGCACTATAATGTCTTCATCAGAAGATTATAAACACAAAAGTGGTGCAATGAAGAGAAAGGAAAAGAAAGAGAAACAGAAGAAAATTGAAGCCTCAACAAGCAAAATCAACAATTTTTTTCAAAAGAAAACTGATCCAGAGCAGGATGTAGAAGGTGGAATGCCAGTGGAGACTGAAACTTCTGTTTCTGAAACTGAAATTCTTGAAACATCTAATATATGTCTTTTAGCTGAAGAGGAGACCAAAGAGAGAGAACCTCTTATGAAAATGCCCAGGAAGGAGACTGCATTGTCTCCTCCACGGGAAAAATCCCCTTCCCCAGAGGATTTCTTTCTTCATTCTCATTATTTGAGAAAGGCTGGAATCTCCATGGAAATGTTCTGGGAATTTCATCCTAAACAACCTACTCAGGACTTCCCATTCAATGGAAACCTTGTGTACTTCAGAAAAGGTACACAAGGATCAAATATCAATAGAAAATGGGTTACTTAGAATGACAAAAAGAAGACCCTGTACTTTTCAATTTTCCTTATGTATTGTACAGAAAAATATCATCATACTCATTGGATTCAGGATTGTAATGACTGGAGACATATTACAACAAGACTCACCAAGCATGAGCAATCCCAGTGCCATAAACCTGCTAGTGAAGCCTATATGATCAATATTAAAGGCAAATCAATTAAGCACAAACTTTCAGTTGACCAGCTTTCTATGAGGCACAAACAGGTACTTCAGCGCCATGCTGTTCTAAACAACATCATTGATATTGCTTTTTTATTGGAATTCAAGCATTGCCATACAGAAGCAGCCATTCAGAGTCTGTAGCTGATGTCTTTGATGATGACCATCTCGAAAATCGAGGAAATTTTTTGGAGGCTGTGAAACTCCTTGCAGAATATAGCCCAGTCCTAAAAGACCATTTGGTAAAAGTTACAGAAGTGGCCAAAAAACGTGACCCATCTCAAAAAGGGCGAGAAAAATTTGTAACTTTTCTGAGCAAGTCCTCTATAACAAAATTGTTCACAATCATTGGAGATAAGGGCTACAGGATTAGAATTTGGGAAGACCAGCTGAAAGCAAAGACTGGAAGTGCTAAACTGAAAAAACTTGATAAAATTGGTACTACCAGGTGGTCAAGAAAAGCCAGAGCCCTTCGAAAACTTTGCGGAACATATAAAAACCACTCTGAGGAATTATATTCTGACCTCATCCTTGTTCTGAAGCATGTAAGTAACTCATCTGATTTCAGAATTTCTGTTTGTCATGAGGCTCTAAAACTAAATTAAAACTTATGTAAATTTGAAACCATCCTGGCAGCTTTTACATTTATAAGAATTTTTGACATTACTACTCCCGTGTCAGATTACTTGCAGTCACCAGCCCTTGACATTATGCAGGCATGGCAACTGGTCGAGGATGCTACAAACTGTTTATCAAAAATTTCAAGAGACTTTTCAGGAGTCTATGGATCTGCAACAATTTTCATTGATCACCTGAATGAAAAACTAGCTGCCGAGGACATTGCCATCAGTAAATCTTTCACAGAACTTAGATCAACAAGATGTGCAGTTCCTGCAAATCAATAACACAGCTTTGAAGTTTCATGCTACAATGTCATCTGTGATACAGTTTTGGAAAGTATGAGAACCAGGTTTGCCACTCATGGCAAACTTTACATGCACATTGCATGTTTTGACCAAAACCAGTTTGAGGAAATACTGGCTTCTCCTGAAAAAAATACAGCTTGATGTCATTTCTACAGCTGTTCCTAAAATTGACGGCCTTGTTCTTTATGAAGAATTGATTTAATTTGCATCTAGTTACAGTAATCTCTCCAGAGGACTGTTTGACAGTGATGATGAAACATTGAGCTCTGCTGGAGAGGAAGAGTCTGACGTCTCTGACTCTAAACCATCAGCTTGTAAGCCTTCTATGCAAAACCTCTGCGGCAAAAATTGCACATCCTGTGCATTTAAAATGCGTTTTCAGTATAGATTATGCTCTTTGGCCTATGAAAATCTTTATATGGCATACAAGTACTTGATCACTCTAAGAACCATGCAATGCTCCTGTGAACAGTGTTTTTCAAAGCTGAAAATTTTGAAATCAACACTTAGGTCAACGTTTACTCAGCAAAATCTGGAGACATTGATGCTTATTGCAATAAAGAAGGATGTTTCTTTAAGGATAAAGATAGACAAAGGGAAAATCATAGACCATTTTGGCAAGACATCTGATGAACTCTTCTCTTTTAAACTGCAGACTGGGCAATGCTATATATTTTTGTAGCTAAAATTGGATGGCACTTCTGTTTGTTTTACTATTTGTATTGCACTGATTATGTTTGCATTGTAATTATTTTTATATCTATTAGGAAGTAGAAAAAGGTGGCGCCACAGAGATAATATGTACAATTAAATATAAGCAAGTAGTAATATATACATATACCTATTGTATTTTTATTTTAAAAAATACAGTACCAATGCAAATCCAGGAAAAAATACACAAGAAAGCATACTGAAGTTGTGATTTCTAGTCACTTAATGAGCAAGTTAGTATTAATTTGTCTACATGGATGTTAAGATCACATACTCTATTATATTGGTCTTTAAAAAGTCTACAGAAATTGCTGAATGATGTGCTGACTATGGAACAAGTGAGTTTGAGCTCTGATGTAGTTCAAGGTCAAGAAATCTTGCAATTCAGCTAGCTATCTACAATTTAATGTGGATAGATAACACTAGTTTGCATTTATTTTAATCTATCGGGGATATTTACTAAACCATGCAATGTCAGGAATACACCAGGGAAAATCCTATTCAGACTCCAATAGCTCGTCTAGAAACATAGCTGTCTTGGAAAATATTTCCAGACTGGCTATTTTGGCCTAATATTTGCAATTCCCGAGAGCACTAGAATTTCTAAGCATTTTCTGGAGCGTGCAAGGGGAATTTTAAAAAGTTTGGTTGACAGAGGAAAACTACTGCTTTACCTTTGTGATATGGATGCCGTTACTCAGGCAGACATTACAGAAAATGCAGGATAACATTACATCATTTCTACATTTGCAGGTGCACTGACACAGTTATCACAGTGATTTAAGCAGTTTATATTTGATGGTTATGTGCCCACAAAACTTGAAGCAGCCTTGAAGATCAGGCTTTATAATAAACTTTATGCAGTCCTGGCACACTATGCAGCATTGACATCGACATTGTACATTTAATAACTAACAACTGACAAAGGACACTTTTTTAATCAAAAGTTTTTTCATTTTAAACGCACTGAACGCAAAGCATTGCATCCTAATGAAATTTATTTTAGCTTATGGCAGATGTTTGAAAAATGTTTGTTACAATTTCAATATTGAAAGTCTCTTGATTATACATCATCCTGCAAATATTAGTATTATTAATTAGCAAATATAGTAAATTTCAGTCATTCTCTGAATACTGAATGTGATGATTAATTTAATCTATGTCATAATGTAATAAGCCAAGTAAACATACAATGAATAATAATTTGAATTTGTCAACACAAGGACAATTGATTTTTTTTCGTGGCATACTGAATTATCCTTAATGGTTCCGACGCAGATTTTGATCTTTGAACAAGTTGTACACTGATAAGTTAAATAGAATATCTACTGCTTACCTGGCCTACTGCATATATTTCCTCAAGTATGCATACAACCTCCTCCCAGAATGGCCCAGACATCAAAAATTTATCTTCATTACCCTAAAAGGTCTCTCCGTTAGTTCTCTGATTCTGATTTATGAGTATTGTATTTTTCTTACCAGGACTGCTAACTCGTGGTATGGAGGTGGGGGTGTGAAGCCTAAATCCCTTTCAAAGGTGAATTTAACTACCATGACAATAGTCCTTTATAAGCACAATGTGAGTGAGTAGGTATGTATTTTGGTTCATAAGTGTAAGGACTCTTACTAATTTTGATACAGCCTAGTCAATCCATCCACAAAACCAGCCTGTTGGTTTTCAATTGTTACACAGTTATGTCAGTTCAGCCAAACTTGATGTAGTGTTATTTTTATTAGCTTGCGTTCATGTTATAATGTCTTTGAGCTAACCTAAATGACTCAAGCTGTGACCTTCACACCATTTTTATATATTTTGTCTTGGCATCTTTTTTTCTTAGTGCGACCTCACAATTATTATAATATGCGCTGCTAATTTTATTATTTAATTTCATACATGTATATAATGAAATATTAAACATATTACTCCAGTGCCGGGGATTCTATAGAAACATAGAATGTGACGGCAGATAAGGCCCATCTAGTCTGCCCAATTTTCTAAATATTTCATTGGTCTATGGCCATATCTTATAGCTAGAATAGCCTTATGCCTATCCCACGCATGCTTAAACTCCATTACTGTGTTAACCTCTACCACTTCAGCCGGAAGGCTATTCCATGCATCCACTACCCTTTCAGTAAAGTAATTCTTCCTGATGTTATTTTTAAACCTTTACCCCTCTAATTTAAACTTATAGTTAGTAAAATGTCAGAAACATTTTATTAAAATGAAGTAAAAGTTAGAGCAAAAAAAACCCCACATATTTTTTCTCTAACTTTTACTTCATTTTAATAAAATGTTTCTGACATTTTACTAACTATAGAATCTGATATGCAAATTGCTCGTTTTATCTTTAAGGTCCTTGAAATGTAATAGAATCTTTGGAGATGCAAACATGACATACTTATAACAGATAACACAGACAGCACAAAAGTTGAAGTTGAATTTAACTTGGATCCTTACTGATATCAAGTACTTACAATGTAAAAAAGCGTAACACTACCAAACTACATCACTGACAAAACAATATGTTTTTTTTGGAGTAACTATTTAACAATTTAACTTGAAAGGTAGAACATTTACTATTCTATTTAATTTCTGTGGATGTTATTATAATAGAACTATTTACTAGATATAGACTAAAGTTCCAAATAAAAGTATTAAAAGATTTGAAGTAAATCTTACGGCACAATATTATTGTGAAAATTAATAGTTTTAATTTCCATATCATCATTATAAAATATTTCAAATGCAATTTTGCAGATGAACAAATAACCCATTTTTCTTTTAATTTCCATACTTCTATTCTGTAATTACAACAAGGGAAATGTAATTGCAAAATGACATGTAGTTTACAAAGGCTTTTGAAGTTTGACTGAAGCAATTTAACTTCTATTGACTATTTAAGATGGTTTTGAAACATCAATATCCATAATGTTTGGGCATGATTATACAAAATAATTGAAGAGCAAAAGAGGCTTAATGTTCCATTATGTTCTTCAATAACAAAATGTAAAATTGGCTTACATTATCTACTTCACATAAAAGAACATTATACTATTTTAAAGTCTCGCATCTACTGAAATGTTAATTTTATAATAAAACATGCATTTTTAGACATAATGGTTATTGATAGGCTCTTGAATATTAACCAGTGTTACTTACATAGTCATGATCAGCTTGGGTAAAAATGCATTAAAGTTGGAAAACTTGCTAATGGGCAAGAACATTCTACACATGGGGGTAAATTGGTGCATTTCTTCAAACCATTGGTTACTACTTTTTTTCCTTCATATCAAATTACTATCAGGAATCACAAGGCTTTATTATTAGTTCGTAAAATAAACACAATCTTATTGACCTCCAGCTACTTTGTCTAATTAATTGTTGTAATTGTTAGTTTTAATTGTTAGCTGCGAGTAGCAGTTTATGGATAAGCGTGGTGGGATTTCTGTTCATCCACCAGTTGACGGTGCAGTCATGAAGTATTTTATTTCTCCCTGTTTCTG